CCCACTTAAAAAGCTTGGGAAACTCAAGAAGAAATTTGTTGTAGAATACTCCTTTACGTCATGTGAAGATGTACCACTGTGATTGGTTTAATAAAAAACTAAGTGGCCAATAGCTAGGCAGGAGGTATAGGCGGGACTTCTGGACAAAGAACTGGGAAGAAGAAAGGCAGAGTAGCCACCAAGATGGAGAGGAAGCAAGATGGAGACTACAGAATAAAGGTAACCGAGCCATACAAAAGAATGTAGATTAAAAGATATGGGTTACTCTGAGTTAAAGAACTAATTAGGAACAAGTCTAAGCTAAGGCCAAGCTTTCATAATTAACAAGTCTCCATGTTGTTTTATTGTGAACTGGTGGCCCAAAGAAAAATCTGTCTACAGAAATTCTGTTTGATTTTGTTTTTGTTGTTGCTGTCTGCTTGTTTGGTTACTCTGAGTTTGAATTTTTGCTTTTGTTTTTTGGGTTGAGGGATTTTTTTTTTAGACAAAATCTCCCAGACTAGCCTAGATATTTAGGTATGCAATCAAAGACACTTTGATTTCTTGAACCTCCTGTCTCTGCTGGGATGGCAGCCATGTGCCACCATTCCTAAGCCTTGTTTCGTTTGTGTGTTGCTTTGTTTTCTTTTTTTTAATATTTTATTTATTTATTATGTATACAATCTTCTGCCTGCATGCCAGCAGAGGGCATCAGAGCTCATTCAAGGTGGTTATGAGCCACCATGTGGTTGCTGGGAATTGAACTCAGGACCTCTGGAAGAACAGTCAATACTCTTAACCACTGAGCCATCTCTCCAGCCCAGTTGCTTTGTTTTCTTAAGATTACTGTTGTGGAATTCTGGGTAAGAATGACAAGTTTGCACAAACTCTACTTTCTTCCCCAAGATTTGAACAGCAAAGGCAAATCCCCAAAAAAAAAAAAAAAAAAAAAAACCTGAAACAACAAAATAACCCAGAAACATACAAAGCAATAAAATTTACAATGTGAAAATCTGAGCTGACTTTGGAAGGAAATGAATAAGGTTTAGTTGACACAGGGAAAGCCAAGAAACAATTTGATTTGCCTTAAACCCACCCCACACCCAGCTTTCTGTGGGTGGTGCCACTCCTGGGCAGGTGGTCCCAGACTACATAAGAAGGCAGGCTAGAGAACAAGCCAATAAGTAGCACTCCCCCATGGTCTCCACTTCAGGTCTCTGCTCTGACTTCCCTTGGTGAGTTTCTTCAAGAAGAGAAGAGGGAAGAGAAAGCAAGGGAGGAATCACCACCGACATAACTCAGGAAAAACTTTCCAGAATCAAAGGACAGTGATTTCCAGGCTGTCCAAGTACACCAAGTGTGCTGCACATGGATGAAAGAGGAGATTCCAGGATGCCTGGGTCCTGAACTCTAGGAACGTCCACAGAGAAGTTGCAGGATCCAGAATCATCTCCAGCTTCTTAAAATACAGCTGGATGGACAGATGCCTTTAAAATTTGGATGGAAAGGAGCCTTGTTAGCGTGGTAGGTAGTGTGTCAGTCTCATAAGATTTGTATATAAATGTATCCCCCAGCTGGAAGTCCAGCTGATCAAACCACCAGTCAAGCTGTAAGGTCAAAATGAAGGTGTTCAGATGGTCTCCACTCTGCTGTGGAAGCAAGAAGCTGAAAAGGAAATGATGGATAACCACAAACCCCTCAATGTTTAGGGACCATCAGAGAGCACAATTCCAAAGTACAGAAAGTGTCCCCAAAAGAAAGGACATACAAGCTGCACCCCACATTTGGTGGCGCATGGGGGAAGGGATGGGAAAAGGAGTTCTTAAAACATGGCACTTTGAGGAAGCAATTAAAAGCTAGCTCTGAGTTGTCAGGGTGAACAGGTTAGAATCCCTGGGACCCCCTAAGAAGTCACCAGCTCTTTTGTTGGCTTTCTGAGGACACAGGCAGGTCACAGACCCTGGAGGGTCTACAAACCTGTCTTAGTCTGAGGGGCAGAAGGACTTGCCCCTGCCCGTGTGCTACAGGACACTCACTGGTGAGCAACTCCCCACCCCTGGCTATCTCTGGAAGCCACCTCCAAAAGGGGCCAAAGAAGATGCTCTTGTCCCTACCTGATACCAAGCAAAGGCTAGCTACCTCTGGAAAGAGACAGAAAACCTCTTCTGAAGCTGCACCAACAGACCATTAGGAGTCTGCAGCCTGGCAAAGGCAAAAAACCAACTAACTCCTGCTGGATCCACCCCTGAGACAAAGCTGGTGTGGGCTTCAGAAGGGGAGGTGGTAAGAAGACAGGAGGTCAGAGGAGGGGGATGGTCAGAAGGGGGAGATGGTCAGAAGGGGGAATGGTCAGAAGGGGGGATGGTCAGAAGGGGATATGGTCAGAGGAGGGGGATGGTCAGAAGGGGGTATGGTCAGAGGAGGGGGATGGTCAGAGAAGGGGGATGGTCAGAAGGGGGGATGGTCAGAAGGGGGATGGTCAGAAGAGGGGATGGTCACAAGGGGGATGGTCAGAGAAGGGGGATGGTCAGAGGGGGATGGTCAGAAGGGGGATGGTCAGAAGAGGGGATGGTCAGAGGAGGGGGATGGTCAGAGAAGGGGATGGTCAGAGGGGGATGGTCAGAAGGGGGATGGTCAGAAGAGGGGATGGTCAGAGGAGGGGGATGGTCAGAGGAGGGGGATGGTCAGAAGGGGGGATGGTCAGAGGAGGGGGATGGTCAGATAAAGGGGGATAGTCAGATGAGGGGGGATGGTCAGAAGGGGAATGCCAGAAGGGGAGTGGTTAGAAGGGGGACATGACAGTAGAAAAGGGAGGGGATGAGTGTCTGTGCTCTCCATCCACAGTGAGTGTGACAGACACCCAGAGCACTTGGCTGTTCCAAGCCTTTCTCTGGGGACAAGACAGAAGCTACATGTCCCAAGAGAGGACACAGAGCTAGCAGGGAAAACTTCAGCCCCAAAGCACAGACCGGCAGGTCTAGGATGCCACTGGAGAGGCAGCCATCAGAATCAACAAGCACCAACTGTCAAGCTCAGCAGCCAAGGGCTCTCCAGACTTCACGCCATGCACAAGGCGACCAGAGTCTCACCAGAACTGAATATGGGAGTGTGATGAAGTCGAGCATCAGCAACTCAAAGTCGGCTCAACCCATACCAGATCACTCAACTCAAAACCATATGCTATGAACCTAACAGAAGTTAAAGTCCCATCACTAGGCAGAAATATTTACTAAGTCTCTACTCATTATAAGAGACAACTCCACAACCCAAGATAAAACAGAAAGTGAAGCCAAAGACTCAGTCACCCAGCTGATGGACATGTGAAGAACGTCAAAGGACATAACAGGAAAGGTAAACAGCATGGAAGACCGGCTGGGGACATGCCAAAAGGTGGGAAGGATTTGCTTTGTTTTTAAAGTCCAAATGGGGCTCAGCGGGTGAAGACACTTGCTGCCAAGCCTGTGACTTCCCACAAGGGTGCCACAGCACACACACACACACACACACGATAAGTATAATAAAAAGTTCAAATGGAAATGACAACACATCAGACATAAAAGGAGCACCCATGTAGAAAGCCAGTCATTGTGGCATGTGCTTGTAATGCTAACTGGGGAGGCAGAGGCAGGAGAATGGGGGAATAAAAGAACAGGATCCCTGGTCAGCCAGTCTAGCTAAATCCTGAGTTCCTGATGCAGAAACCCTGGCTCAAAAAATAAAATGGAGAGCGATCAAGGGAAACACCTTCTGCTGACTTCAGGCCTATACACAGTCCAACTCGTGCGCGCACGCGCGCGCGCGCACACACACACAAACCCCACTCCTACAATTCCCAAAGGAATGTCAAGAGAATACTTAATTCTGTACCTCAAGTTTCAAACACTAACTTGGGACACTGCACCTCGCTTTCAGACTGATACAGATGTCGACCCTTCCTTTTTCTATGATAGGCTAGTTCTTACAGATCATGCTACAGAATGTGCAGTATCACACCCTACCCTGGATCCACTGTTCCCAAAGCACAGGCAGATACCAGTGTAGGGGTGTCACATGAAGGTTCCAAATCCTCTGAAGAGCTGGTTTGGGGAAGCAGTGTGGAGCTGGGGCAAAGAAACAAGCAGGTACCAGGCTGGAGAGATGTTCAGTGGCTAACAGCACTTCATGCTCTTCTAGAGGCCTGGGGTTTGTTTCCCAGCACAAATAAAAAGTTCACAATCGCCAGCTCAAGATGATACGATGCCCTCCCAGGCACCTACACGCACGTGGTACACACACATAAATGAATCATTTTAGAAAGGGAGAGAAAAGTGGGTACCCATTGTGTCCTGGGGACTACAGGAACAGTCCATCGCCAGCTCTGCAGACACCTGCACAGCCCTCTGCAGCAGGTAGCGCGCACGCTTGCGCGTGAGCGCGTCTTGCGCGCGGCCCAGCCCCGCCTGTACGATTCTCCAGAAGCTGCCTCGGAGGCGCGTGTCGAGATCCGCATGGCGCGCACGAACTGACAGCAGCTTCTCAGCCAGCGCGCTCAGTACCAGCAGCTCTGGCCCAGTGCGACCCTCAGCTCCGGGTCCCAAGGAGCCCAACGTGTCCCAAGCCTCCCGCAGCGCCGGTTCTGCACTCTGGGCCAGCGCAGGCAGCAGGCGCGCGCCCACCGCTGGCGGCGCGTCCCCGGCCAGCGCCAGCTCCACGGACGTGCGCGCCAGACGACGCAGCAGGGGGGCATCCTCGAGGGCGCGCAGACACGGCGCCACGGCTGCCAGAAGCTCCACGGCCGGCACGGCCGGCAGCTCGCGCAGGGCGTCCTCAGCCAGAGCAACCGCCAGTTCGGGCCCCGCCAGGCGCGCACATGAGCGCAGCGCCGCGCTCGCCGCTCGGAGCACGCGCCGTCCCGCAGGCCCTCCTTCGGGGGACGCGTTCAGTAAAGGCACCAGGTGGCCCTTGGCCACCTCGTGCGCGGCCTCGGCTAGTACGCCGGCGCCCACGTCGCGTTCCTCCAGCTGCTGCAGCACCAGACGCAGAGTCTCCGCCCGCTCCGCAGTCGCCTCTCCGCCACACAGTGCCCCCAGCAGTGCGCAGGGCTCTCGGCTCTGCGCCAGAAGCGCATCCGCCAACACCCGCTCCATTGCGCGGGGAGCTGATCCTGTGCGCGTGCGCCGGCCACTCTAAGCGTGAGTGCGCGTGCGCAGCAAGAGGTTCCCACCCACACACACCCTGCCGAACTTAGGACCGCCTAAAGTTCCTTCCACTTTGATGGGGTCCTGGAGCCCTAGGGTGTGGTGTCTCTTGCCACTCTGTCCCTTACAGTTTTTTAGAAAAAAGAGTTGCTGCAGACGTTCACTGTATTATTACACCAGGTTTGGAGATTACTGACTGGAAAGAGGCTTGGGGTCGAAATTAGCTAGCAGGCACTAAATTCATGTAGATGCCCATAGCAGTCCCCCAGGTGGCTGCTTTTAAAGAGAAGCGTGTTAAGAACTACCACACAGAACCTAACACAGTGGATCCGAAATGCACTCTGGATTTACGTGTTGACAATAAGACATGAGGGAGATGGCCTGTAGGGTGAAGTGCTTACTGTGTAAGCATTAGCATCCGTCGGGATCCCCACGGAGGGGTAACTGCCATCCCGCATGGTGGAGACAGAAAGATCCCTGGAGTCTCGGATCAGTCAGTTCCAGGTTCAGCGAGAGAACCTGTCTCTTAGGAACTAGGTGGAAAGTAGGACGTGGTGACACACACCTTTAATCCCAGTCCTGGGGAGGATGCGTCAGAAGGATCACTTCTAGTTCAAGGCCAGCCTGGTCTACATTGTGAGTTCCAGGACTACAAAAAGAGACCTTGTCTCAAAAACAAATGAACTCAAGGTAGAGGGTGAAAGAGGAAGACGTCACATATCAACCCCTAGCTACACACACACACACACACACACACACACACACACACACACACACACACGGTGAGCAGCACCCACCTCACATGCTAATACAAGCATATACTCTACTAGTCATGAAGTCAGGTTGTACATGACTGTATAAAGTGCCAGAAGTCTGAGACAGGAGAACCACCCATTCAAAGCCTGCCTGGACTACATAATGAGATCAAGGTCAATCTGGGCAATACAGTGAGACTCTGTCTCCAAAATGTAAGAGGGCTGGGGTAGCAGGTACATGGGAGAAATTTTTCCTAGCATGTATGAGGTCCTGGGTTCAAACTGGGGGGTATGAGGGTAATGTGAATAAAGTAAGAATGACTTGGGGTGCAGGCATCAGAGGCCTCACACTTAACAGAATAGGTTACAGCTCAAAGCAAGGTCTCCACAGCACTCTAAGCCCAGGGCCCTAGTTCAAGAATACAGATTGATCCTCCCTCACAATGCTGGCTGCTGGTTCCTGTGAGCAAACTCAAAATCAGAATTCCCTGTAGTTTATATTTCTGACAGTTTCCACTGCTAGATTCGGACTCAGACAAAGGAGACCTCATCTTGACCTGCACATTGCTGGTCTTACTCCTCACTGAATCCCAGGTTTAACTGAATGAGTGTCACGGATCCTACTTGACCGGAATGAGTGGCATGGATTCTCCTTGACTTATTCTGCCCCTTAGTCGATGAGGGCGGCAGCCCCACCTTCAAACAGCTTGACATAAAATAACATGGATATACTTTTAAAGTTAACTGTTATTGCAAATGAAAGATTTCTCCCATGTTTCAGTCGTTCCATTTGCCTTTGGCAAAACACATAAAAGATTTCCATTTTAAACCCACTTAGACTGTTGGTTTAAAAAAACTTTTGGTTAGTTCATGGAAAGTGATTATTAGCATCATTTCTTTCAACATAAATGAATATCAAGCATAAAAAGTTAAAGGTTATGAGCAGACACTTAATAAAATGACATGCATTTGCAAAGGTGTCTGACATTTTTAATCAGGAGAGAAATGCACATTAAATCCCCTTGGAGACAGACACCCTTCCATGCTCCTGAGAAAGATTCCAGGCACCAAGTGAGGGCTGGCAAGATGGCACAGGGGGTAAAGGTGCTTGCTGCCAACACAGACAGCCTGAGTAGGATCCCACATGGTGGAAGAAGAAAACTGACTCTTGCAAGTTGTTTTCTGACCTCTATGCTAGGACATTGTGGCGTGCAGTCCTGTGCACACACACTCAAATAAATAAACACAATAAAGCATTTAGCTGGGTGGTGTTGGTGCACACCTTTAATCCCAGCATTCAGGAGGCAGAGGCAGGCAAATCTCTGTGTGTTCAAGGCCAGCCTGATCCATAGAGTGAGTTCCAGGACAACCAGGGTGGTTACACAGAGAAACCCTGTCTCAGAAATAAATGCATAAATAAACAAACAGTATTTTTAAAACACCAAATGACAAGGGCCAAGGATGTAGAACTAGAATGCTTTTGCATTACTGACAGGCAGGGAAATGTTAGGATTGCTTTGAAACACTGTTTCCTATAAAGATACAGTACACCTACCTTATGATGTAGCCAGCACAAGTCCTCATGCCCTACCCTCTCCACCTCCCCACCCCAGGTATTTGATTTAAATAATCTCTAGACTAAAAAGTCTTTGTAGGAAGCTGCTTTTTGCAACATTAGTCACTGCAGCTAACACCTTGTAACAAGCTAAACACCCATCAGCAGACACTGGATGCACAAATAGCCTCTGAGAGATAAGGCCATGGGGCAAGTACAGACAGCTGATAACTCTGAAGCAAAGTGAGTGAATCTCGGCTCTCCAACAGTGTTTACAGCCTGAGGATTCCAGTTGCTGACATTCAACCATCAGCACAGCGCTTGTTGGGGTAGAGATTGAGGATTGCTGCAGCCCATGGAGAATGCAGATGGTCTAGGACCAGGTGACAGGGAAGTTTCTAGGGCAATGTTTTCAGTGGATTCAGGAGTTGGTTATACAATCTAACATTTGTCAAAATGCCTTGAACCCTTGAGGCCTCTGCATTTCATTCTGCGCAAATTTTATCTTGGTTTTTTAAAAATGACTTCTACAAAAGAAAAAAGTAAGTTGGCCTGTGTGTTTGATCTCTTTTACCTACAGACAAGCCCAGTGAAGAGCATGACTTCAGGCTGGTCAGGAGCTGATGAAGGCAGCCAGTTTGCTATGATAATCAGACCCCATTCACAGCTCCACTCCTGCCCCAGCTTCCAAGACCTTCAATGTCTCCTCTGCAGGAGTCTTCTGAGTCACCAAGTGATGTAATTGCTAAGTGACCTTTTCTATCCTTACCTAACTCTAGTCTCTAGTGCCCCATCGCGCGAGCGCGCGCGCGCGCGTGTGTGTGTGTGTGTGTGTGTGTGTGTGTGTGTGTGTGTGTGTGGGTGTGTGTGTGTGTGTATGTGTATACATTGCTCGAATGCATGCTTGCATATATACACATAGAGGTCAACCTCAAATGCTGTTCTTCAGGCCCTGTCCGTCTTGATTTTTTGAGACAGGGTATCTTACTAGTCTGGAGCTTGCCAAGAAGGCTAGGGAGCCCCAGGAGTCTGATTATCTCCACATCCTGAGAGCTGGGATTACACCTTAAAACTGGTAGCCTCTTTTTAAATTATTGTGCGCACACACACATATATATATATATATATGTTTGCACAAATATATAAATACAACCCACTGGTTGTATGTATGCATGTGGTTTGCATGTATGCGGTTTCAGGGATGACCACTTTATATTGGATAGCCAATTTGGGGGCTAATGCCCAGGAGAAGCTAATTCTCCCTCTCTCCACAGTCATTGGTTGCTGTAGTTCTTTGTCTAGAAGTGAGATCACCGCCTCTGCCAGTCCTGTCTTTCTTAAGCCGCTGTCTTCCTCTGGTGTTCCTCCTCTGCCTTCCCTATCCATTTGTTTTCTCTGATTCCCCAGCTCCAGCAGAGTCCTCCTTTCTTTCTGCCCATGTTTTCAGCGTGCCATCTGCTGCCGGGCTCTGTTTGTTCATTCTGTATATTTCTTTTTAATAACTTTGTTAAAACCATAGTCTTGGGGCTGGGTAGTTCAGTTGGTAGAGTGCTTGTCTGGAATGCATGAATCCCAGGGTTAATTCCCCAGCATCACATAAACCAGAGTGGTGGTGCATGCCTGTAATCCCTGAACTTAGGGGCGGTGTCAGTAGAGGCCAGAGGATCAGGAGTTCCAAGTTGTTGTCCTTTGCTGCATACTGAATTTGAGGTCAGTCTGTCTCAAAAACCAAACTATAGATTTTATTGACCTCCATTCGAATGATAATGATGAGCAGTGTGTTTCCCAAGCATTCTCTCCCGGAGGAGCACGCCAGAGTGTCCATCCAGCTGTCGATAAGACCAATATTAGACTACACTCAGGGCGTCATTCTCTCCCCTTAGTGTTGTCCCTCCCGCTGCCAATCCTCTATCATTATTGCTTTCCGCCTGTTTGGACATGAAGTTTCCCTGCAAAGCTCAGATGTTGAAGGTGTGGTCCCCGGTGACTGGACTGAGAGGATTCTGTTCTAGTGAGTGGATGAAGCTGTTGATGAATTCACAATCAGATGGCATTGTTGTGAGGTGGCACCAGCTTTGTCAGCTTGGAGAAAGTGCGTCACTGGTGGTGTGTGTCTTGACTCCTCTCTCTCTCTCCTCTCTTCCTCTTCTCTCCCTCCCCTCTCTCCTCTCTCTCCTCTCTCTCCTCTCCTCTCCTCCTCTCCTCTCCCTCTCCTGTCTCCTCTCTCCTCTCTCTCCTCTCTCTCTCTGAAATGAACACAATTTCTCATTTCTTCATCATACCTTTCCACCATAATATTCTGTCTCACCACAGACCCAGAAATAATAGAGCCAACTGAGCATGGATCCAAACCTCTGAAACTATGAGCCAAAGTAAGTCCTTTCTCTTCCTACTTTAAGTTTGTACCACAGGTATTTTGCTGCAGCAATGAAATGACCTATTAACATGCTATCCATGACTTCCCAGGAAGTTTCTACCTTCCTTCCCAAATTGCCCATCAAAACTCTGCAAGACAGCAGACTTCTCACCCTCCAGTAATGTCTCCAACTTAGCCATCTAACCTTGTCAATCTGTCTTAGCTCTTACCATCTGTCCTCCACTGGTACCCTGAGCAACTTCACCCTCCCTTTTCTTACTGACTTAAAAGCAATAGCTGCCTACCTGACTTAAACCCTTCCTACTTCTCAACCCAGCTGCTTCTGATGAAAAGGATGCTGGTGTTCCACAGCATGGATTATGTTGGTCTGAGTGGCACATGGAACTAGAATCCCATTGGAAAAATGACTTTTAAATCTGGGGTGAGTTTGTGTTCTGGAATACATGGCAGTTGCATAAATAAAAAACAAGATCCGAAAGAAAACTCTATCAGTATTTATCCTGGCATCCAAATGGACTTTGTGAGCCCATACCACATGGAGGGATGCTCTCTCAGCCTGGACACATGGGGGAGGACCTAACCCTTGCCCAGGGACAATATGACAGACTTTGGAGATTCCCCATGAAGGGCCTCACCCTCCCTGGAGAGTGGAGTTGGGATTGGGGGAGGGAGGCAGGGGAGAAGGGGAGTGAGGGGGATCTGGGATTGACATGTGAAGCAAGCTTGTTTCTAATTTGAATTAAAAAACAGGTATAAATAATAATTTTTTAAAAATCTATCTAGAAGCTGGAGTTTCACTGGCCAGAAGGTGGTGCTGTTGCCAATGCCAAGTCCTGTCCCAGTTTTCTACCTTAATGCTCAGTCACAATTTGAAAGATTGACAATAACAATCACACCGTAAGTCTGCAGCTGGAGGCTTCTCTGCTTGTTTCTAGAGAATAAGAAGGGTGGACTGCTTAGAAAACTGGGATTGGTGCTGCCAGGCCTCCCCAGAAAGTCACAATTGCACTCTGAGCAAAGGTGCTCAGTGCTGCAGAGGACTGCATTTGCTCTCCTGGGCACCACTGCATATTGGCACCTGCCACCTGCTGACGATGCACACACACACACACACACACACACACACACGCGCGCGCGCGCGCGCGCACGCATGCAGTACAAGGTCTATCTCCCTCTTAAATACACAACAGCTCCCAAACTTCAGTACTATAAATTCCATTTACTAGATGCCATCAAATAAAGAGAAAGAAGTCTTTGGCCAAGAAGCTCGGCTTAAAAACACTGGGTTTTTCAACTGGTCATCTACTCCTTTTAACCATGGACAGTTCTCTTTTCAAATCCAATGCTGCTCTCATCAGCTAATAACTGCTTCGCTTTGTCCTACTTGTGTCTCTTCCCCTTGCCTCTCTCATTCTCCTCCTCCTCCTCCTTCTCTTCTCCCACCGTACCACCTTCTGTGACAGGGTTCCATGCAGCTCAGGCTGTACTCAAACTCACTATGTAGCCAAGGATGCCTTTCAACTTCTGATCCTGCTGCCTCCAGCTCCTGGTGTCTGGGATCACAGGTGTGCACCCCCACACCACATTTGGAGATGGATGGCGCTCCCAAAGAATCAGTGAAACCCATTTGTCAAACCTCTTTTGTTAAACAGGGCCACTTCGAGATTTAACTTTCCTATATGAGACAGTCAATCAAGATGAATACATTCTGCATCTCTCCATGGCCCTGTTCCTGTGCATCTGAGCTGGACACATAGGCAGCTCCACCCCAAAACCCCACCCCTGTCTTCTTCCCCTGTGCCAGCATCTGTCCAGTCTCAGGGAAAAGATAGGCACCTTCGTGAATAGTCAGGGACTGGGAGAGAAGTCAGTTGCCCTTGGTTCAAGACAGGGGAGGAAGTGCCCTAGTCTTTGCAGTTCCAAGAGGTGATTCAGCAGCACCACCTAAAGGCTAACTTGGAAATGACCTCTTCCCCTTGAGCCTGATGAATAAAGACCACAGGACTGGAGAGAGGACTCAGTTCCCATCTCACCATGAACATAAAAAAAATTAGATATGCCATTGCCCACCTGAAACCCTATTGCTCCAGGAGAGGGGACAGGTGGATCAGTAGGGTTTGCTGGCTGCCAGCCTAACTCCAGGTTCAGTGAGATATCATCTCAAGGGAATAAGATGGAGAGGGACAGAGCAGGTCACCTGACACCCTCTTCTGGCCTCTGTGCCTATGCATGCACATATACCTACACACATGCGCATACAACAAACACACATAAGCCACACAAATGTGCGTTTGCACACAGAAATAGTGGCGACTACTCTCCCTCCAGCCTCTCCAGTATACTAAAGCTCTACCACCTGAGCAGGTCTAGGGCAACCAGCAAGGTCCAACATCTTTTCCATTGAGAGACCTGCACAGCAGAGTCTCCCGTCTTGGGTGGATTGGAAGTGGGAGTGAGTGAAGGCTTTAAGTGGCAGAAACAGGAGGAGAATCATGATCACCCATCTAGATCCTTTTGCAAGGAAGAGCAACGTGCCTGGGGGAAATAGGAAAGTACATGCACACTTGATCTTGTTTGCTCTCAGGGTGAAAGCCAGCAAGCTGCATGAACACTCTGTGGGCAATTTGCTTTTATGCCTTGAGCAGACAGTGTGGGAAATGTTAATATCCCTGTGAAGGAACAGGGCCAGGCTGGTTAGCACCTGCGCAAAGCTCTCAAAAAAATGAGGGGCCCATCAGGAGGACCTGGGGCTGTTTTATGTAGGACTTACTGGTGCTTACAGCCTCACCACCTTCCTGCAGCACTGTCTGGGGTCTTAGCACTTCTCAGACTCACAAGGGGATGGAAATGGTATGGACATCCAGAAAGACAGGTAATGTGAGGCTTGCTCACTTGCAGTAGGGATTTGAATAAGAACGGCCCCCATAAATTAATATTTGTATGCTTAGGGAGTGGCATTGGGAGGTGTGATCTTGTTGGAGGAAGTTTGCCACTGGGGTGGGCTTTGAGGCTTCAGATGCTCAAGCCAGGCCTAGTGTCTCTTCTCGCTGGCTGTTGATGCAGATGTAGAACTCTCGGCTCCTTCTCCAGCAACATGTCTGCCTGCATGCCACCAGGCTCCCCACCATGATGATAATTGACTAAACCTCAGAACTGTAAACCAGCCAAATTAAATGTTTTCCTTTATAAGAGTTGCCGTGGTCATGGTTGTTAGTATTCAGCCATCTTTTTTTTTTTTAACCTTTTTGCAATAGACTTTATTTTTGTATTAGTGTCTCTGGCTTTACATAAGTATGGTATTTTCCTATCTTTTTTTATTTTAAATAGCTTGTTTTACATGTCAATCCCAGTTCCCTCTCCCTCCCCTCCTCCCGCACTCCCCCCCATCCCCCCCATCCTCCCACCCTATTGCCAATTCCTTCCGCATAGGGGATATCTAGAGTCTATCATTTCACTCAGGGTAGGGTCCAGGCACTTCCCTAAGAGTCCAGACAGAGAGAGCAACCCTCTTTGTGTTATGGACACACGATGTCTGTTATTCGAGGGATAAACACTGATCCACTGCTCAGGACCCCATAGGTAGCCCAGGCCTCCTCATTGACTCTCACATTCAGGGGGTCTGGATCGGTCCCATGCTGGCCTCCCAGCTGTCGGTCTGGAGTCCAAGAGCTCTCCCCTGTTCGGATCAGCTGTCTCTGCTGGTTTTGCCAGCCCATTCTTTGCCAATTTGCTCATCGCTCCTCTCTCTCTGTCGCTGGGTTCCTTGGGTTCTGTTCAGTATTTAACTGTGGGTGTTTACCTGGAAGCAACCTAGATGCCCCTCAACTGAAGAGTGGATAGAGAAAATGTGGTACATTTACACAATGGAGTGCTACTCAGCAGAAAAAAACAATGGAATCTTGAAATTCGCAGGGAAATGGATAGCACTGGAAGAAACCATCCTGAGTGAGGTAACCCAGTCACAAAAAGACAAACATGGCATGTACAAACTCATATATGGATTTTAGACATGGATCAGGAGAATGCCAGTCTGCACTTCCACTGACAGAGAGTCTGGGAAACAGGAAAGAACCTAAAAGATATGCATGGTACCCAAGAGAAGAGAAATGAGGCAAGATCCTCTGAACAGATGGGGAACACGGTGAGGGGGAGGGGGGAGGGGGACCTTGGAAATAGAGAGGGGGAGAAGTGGAATTGAGAGTAGGTCGTGGAGGAACAGGAAGGTTGACTGGGGGGGGTAGGGTAGGGGGAAGAGAGAATCATAGGTTAGAAGACAGATCAGGCACCATTGTGACTTCTAGTGATCTAAACGGATGACACCAATTGGCAAGCTAAGCAATAGTGTTGAGTCCACCTCGAATGCCCATTCCTGATAGTGAACTTGATGTCTATAATCATCCTGGAGCCTTCATCCAGTGACTGATGGAAGCAGAGGTATTCAGCCATCTTTACTGGCCTGTCCTTGGGGTTCTGACAGGATACACCCTCAGCTGCAACCACCCGTGCACATTCACTATGTTCCCTTTTAAAAGGGTCCTGCCCACCTCCCATCTCTCTCTCTTTCTTTCTCTCCACTTCTCTGCCTGTCTCTCCGTCTGTCTGTTTCTCTTTCTCTCTGCTTCTCTGCCTGTCTCTTTGTCTCTGTGTGTGTCCCTCTGTTTCTCTCTGCCTCTGTCTCTCTCTGTCTCTCTGTCTCTGTCTCTGTCTCTGTCTCTCTCTCTCTGTCTCTCTCTCTCTCTCTCTCTCTCTCTCTCTCTCTCTCTCTCTCTCTGCCTCTCTCTCTTCTGCTGCTCCTGTCTCCAGAGGCTGGACTCCTCTCTCCCCTCCCCCTCTTCCCAATCCCCTTTCCCCTAATAAAAATCCTTTCCACATAAGCTCTGTTGCATGTCATCTTTCTCTCTTATGTTTCTCTTAAAAAGTACAACAATGGTGTCTCTTCACAGCAATAGAAATCCTAAGACACCTATCAAGTGTCTTGGACCTGTGACATGCTAGACGCTGTGTTGGGGCAGCTGCTGTCCTGACACTGTCTTCTGCAAGTCTCCTATTGAACCCACAGATTACGATAGCCTGTCTGACTTACAGACAACAGGAACCCTGACTTACAGACAACAGGAACCCATTCCTCATCATCCTAAGTCAAAGCAGAAACAACCCCTTTGGAGTCTGGAGAGATGACTCAGTTGGTAAAGTCAGCCTTGCATACCTGGTAGTCTACAGGCTAATGGAGAAGCCTGTTTTCAAAAAACAATATTGAGGCTGGAGAGATGGCTCAATCAGTAAAGCATCGTGTGTGTGTGTGTGTGTGTGTGTGTGTGAGTGTGTGTGTGCGCGTGTGAGTGTGTGTGTGTGAGTGCGTGTGTGTGTGTGTGTGTGTGTGCATGCATGTAGTATTATAGAGCCATCAAGAAGAATGAAATCATGTCATTTGCCAGAAAATGGGTGGAGCTAGATCATATTGGGATGTG